CACTTCAGTACAAAAATCAGGATGGCAGAATCATCTCTCTTTAGAGTACAAGCTTACATCACCCATGCATGTGTGTTCATTGTGCTTTTGCTAAAATTGGAAGAAAGTTTGTTGCCTGAATTCATTTTTATAATTAGTGCTGTGCCAGGCTTGATGGTTATAGAGATTTTATACACTACCAGGTTGGATTTAGTGTCAAATCAATGTGTGTTTAATATGCTTGTGCCAAACGGAATCACACCTGTAAAAGCCTGAGTTGATTGATAATTGCAAAATCTGAAACCAGACCCTACTTGTTAAGATAGTCACAGGCACTAAGTAGATTACAAATAATTCATCACACGCTGATCTTTTTCGCCATGTAAAGATCACACCCTCACAAAAGTAGTTCCTTGCCTAAATGAAAGAGGTTATTAGATCTATTTAGATTTCAGAACTAGATCTTCTGAGCTTGACCCCTTTATCTCCTCATTGCAGGGGAAAAAACTAAAAAAGTACTTTTAATAATACTAACTGTAGGTTTTTGTAATCAATAGGTAAAGCAGTTGCAATAGACAAGGACCAATATATTAACTGTGGATGCCCTCTAGTGTCCCTTTTTCTCACTTCAATTTATTTCAGCTTGTATTTGAGAATATGACCATACACGTTTTTATAATAGCATGGTTCACTTTTTAATGAAAAGATAATACTGAAAACCCCCTTGCCCCCACCTCCCCAATAATTCTAAATAGAGGGGTTTTTTTTTTCTATCATCTAGGGTTATAGATAGATTATTACTTCCTTATATCACGTTTCACCACACAAATCAATAATCCCTTATATTATTCTTCTCCACTTGAACATTTGCCAAATAATTATACTTTCAATTATAATATGACAAGAAAGGAATCCTTTATTTTGGTGCATCTACTAAATCTTATATATGACTGCAGTGAGATAGAATTGATTGCAATTGAATCATTATTTTATTTTAGGAAATTTTTTTATCAACTTAATTAGCCAAAATAATTAACAATCATTCATCTGATATCAACAGGCATATAGAAATTTAATAATGCTGTCATACTTACGGTTACATTTTGGAAGTAACACAACATCAGAAATGGAACACTGCATACAATTTCTCCAAATGCTAAGAATCTGGACTTTGAATATAAAAGAAACTGACAATTCCTGAGCCCAGCTATAGAAACCCTTTTTGTAACATAAAAAGTACCGGTATAACCCAAAAGCAAAATATAAGATGACCCCACTTTTGACCCCGCATTATATTAACTAATTATATATGACAGGAAGTAACTTTAAAATATTGCAGTTAGAAAGCATCTGTAAGATGCAGCCAAAGTTAAGCATCATATATTTTAATAAGTCTGAATTAAGTGCATGATAATCTTTTACTAGAGCCGAGAAGAGATCATGTTAAAATGCTATTTGGATCATATTCTGATTTAGTTACAGCATAGCCTAAGTTTTAAATTTAAATTTCTATGGTTTTTAGCAAGGGAAGATTTAAAAAAAAACCCATGCACAACTGTTTTTTTTTCCTATTCTTAGCACTCTGATACAGTATTGCAAACTTTCATTTTACTGTCCATTTAGACACAGAACCATCTCTACATAGCCTAGAGATAATTGAATTTTGTGTCTCTTGCACAAAATCAGAACACAAGCATGGGTATCTTCACTTTCCTTATTAATGAGGCAAGATAAGTAACAATTACTGTAAAGAAAGGGAAATTATCCCAAAGAACACATGGGCATTACAAAAGGAGACTCGTGACTTTCATAGAGGAAATTTTAAAGGACCTTATTCTAGAAAAATGTTCTTGGTTCAGGATGACAGGAAGTTTAATCTTTAATGTTTAAAAAACTGTATTATACTTTCTGTGTTAAAATTTTCTGCGTCTATGTAAATCATAGGTTGGATTCACTCTATTTAATATATTCATGCTATTATAACACAGGCACACAAAGGGAAGAAGTGCTGTAAAGCATAAATTCTCTTCTAAATCCTGGAAATTGTCAACATAGTTCACTTGCTTGAAAAGTTCTCTTATATTAATTCTTTCCAAAAATCAGCATCAAAAGATTTTTTTTTTTAATCAACTGCATGAGGTAAACGGGCCAGAGGTTAAAACTTCGACAACAGTAAAAGTAAAAATCATCCAACAAGAAGTATCTTGTTTCAGTAAGTGGCAATAATTCAACTGGAGTAAATATAACTGAAGATACCAGGGTGAATGTCTATGGAGATTCTCAGTCATCCAGGTCATGGTTGTCCCAAAGGTGCTTTCCAAAAGGCATTGGACTTTCTTACTTTTCTCCTCATCCAAAAAGTGAAATGTTTTCAAGGAAAAAAACTAAAAAAGTCCAGTTGCCTTTTGGAAAGCACCTTTGGGACAACCAGGGTGAATGGTTTTCTTAATGGTATAAACCATGGAATACAAGGCTTTTCTCTTATTGCCTGTACATATAAGCGCTTTTGGTCATAGCGATGCTTTCTGAACCATGTGTTGTCCCAATGCTTAGAAAAATCATATATATATTATTGTAGCTCCATTGATATTACTAATGTTCATAAATACAATCAAGTGGTCAAAGCCCCGTGGCTTTGATATTTCATTATTTTATCAATTTCAGTATTTGTTATCACCCAATACATAACACTGGAGAAAGGGAACCACTGAAATCCAATATAAAATGTCACCTGCAAATTAACTAATGAACCAGGGGCAAATTTATGTGCTTCACTGTTATGCAGAAAGAAAAGAGTGCATAGAATGAGAAGGCAGCGCATGAGCCTTCGGCAGGGGAAGTGACTAAAGGTAGATACCCATCTGTTGAACTCCACGCCCTTTCCTGTCTGTGACTGATTCAATTCGTCCTTCACTTCCTGTGTCTTTCTCCCAGACTGAGGTTGGTAAACCACCTTAGCAAAAGGGTAACTTTTTTGAAGTTAGATTGGACAAAGGATTGTTCCATTCCAAATCCCAATTTCTACCTGCCATCCCCACTCCTCCTTTATTTCCTTATTTATTTTTTTAAAAGTCTTATACTAATGTTGTGCATTTATTATAAGACCTCAGATATTTTTCCCTCTTCTGCCTGGGGATGGCCTGGACATGTTTTCCTGAAAACTACAGCTGATTTGCAAATCCTAGGAGGTGGCATGGAGGCATTATGCCCTCTTCTTTTATACCCTATGTCAACATTATTATTATTTTTTTTAAAAAAAAAAAAAAGCTTAAAAGTCTGGCAAATAATGATAATGTACTTATAAAAATTAAGCCAGGATAATTACTGGAACAATGAATAACAAAAGACGAGTTAAAATTGAACAAACAAAAACGATACTGGAAAAGATGCGGGTGTAGATATGTCCTGAGAAAGACTGTTTTAACCACATGCTACATTATCACTGAAAACATATTGTTTAAAAATAATGCAATATACCATTAGATAAATGAAAAACTACCTGCTAGCAGCAACGGTTCCAGAGAAATTTAGCACCAAGACTAATCGGAAGAAGATGGAGAAAATGGGAATGGGGGGAAGGAAAATGGATAGGTTCAGTGTAACTGACATCATTTTACTGTATTTAAAAAGAAAAAAAATGCAAACTGGCATGAGTTTAGTCCCTCTGGAAACATGCTACCCTAGTAAATTCTCCAGCCAAAATTATTTTTATTTATTCCTGTGAGCATCTAGTACAGCCAAAACTTCCCAATACTGCTTTATGATATACCAGAAGGGTATGGCACAAACAAATGTGGAGGCTGGTTTAGGCTTGTTTAACCTAAACCATCCTTTTTTATTAAGCTAAAAAAAAAAGTTCTTCAGAATGCATGGATCTCCCAATCTCATGGCCCACATATCTACTAGACTATGCACTCTTTGAAAGAAGTTCACAGGTATATGCACAATATTCTGTTTTTCTTTTAGCCACTTATTGGAACTTTAAATGTTAATAAAAGAAGGATATGTGAACCAGGCAAAGGACCTTGAGATTTGTTAAGCAATAAAGATGGATTTTGCATTGATATATCCTGCTGCACAAAGACGGCAGGTATTTCTTTCACTTATTAAAAACAAACAAACAAACAGAAAACACAATCAATTTCTGATTATAAAGACCAAGTATAAATAACATAAAATTAGCATATGTATATTTTTAAGCCCTGGAGTCTATATCCTCTTAAAGGATTTGACTCATTGGCTATCTAGCTTCCACAGCAGCCTGGGTTTTCAGTAAAGAATTGTAATTAATTTTCTTATCCCCACTATATAAAAATATAAATGAAAAAACATCCCCCATTTCCCTAATCTGAATTATGCTATTTTTCACAGGAACATGCTATCAATATTGTACGAAGATATATGAACTTGTTAGTAGAGTTTTCACAGGACATTTTGCCTAACACCGGAACCGCCCACTGATGTGTCATGCTAAAAAAAATTATTCTAGCTAATTGACAATAGCATGAAAATTAACCAGATTACCAGAAGGATCCAATCTAACCTAGATGACCTGGAGAAGCTAGAAACAAATTCCAAGATGTGTACACAGGGCTCAGAAATCCCAATGATGATAAGCAAAGGGCTAAAATGGCTCAATAGCTGACTAACAAAAGGAAAATACCAGAGAGGTAAAAAAACAGACATACACATAAAAGCATAAAGAGACGTAGGATGACATTGGCTTGCCATGTCTAGCTTATAAATTGAGTCAGGTTGAAATGCAGACTATGGCCCCAGTACATATTTCTGAAAAATGAAAGGTTGCCACCTACATTGCAGCTGCCACAGTTGAAGATGTCAGTACATATTAAATGTTGCTGTATTCCTCTTAGCTTCCATCAGATCCGCTTACATTTTCAGTGTGAGTTTACATCATACATGTGCATCTGTGTGTGCGTGGGTGTATGTGTAATATACCAAAGCTTAGAGTATTGATTAAAAAAAAAATCACCAGCTCTCTAAAGAAGAGGCATTCCTTGCTAAATATCAGGATAAAATTCTGATCCATGGTCCATGCTTTGCAGCACAGGTTTCTGATCCAGGGTGGACATCCTGCTTAACATTTCTGCAGACAGTGCGTAACTATTGCTAGATTTCTCCTCAAACCAACTGTCTAGGGCCCGTTTGGCTTCAAAGTTGGAAATAGGTGGTCCATTTACAGCAATTGTCAAAAGATCGCTGAGTTGTTCCAGAGTAAGTCGGGAACGATTGTTTTTGCGCACTCTCTGAAGAGCATTTCTTCCCTTTTCGCAGCATGCTGTGGAAGTGGGAAGGACTTTGAGGATCTGGATTATTTTATTTAAAAGAGGAAATCTCTGTCTATATTTACAAATATGACTGATTAAATCTTTAAAGCCATTTTTGGTATAATAATCCACCTTGAGTTCTCGCCATTCCATGAGCAAACTCCCTCTAGTGTCTATGCCTTCTCTGCTGATTTCTGTGCAAAAAGATGGCACTGCTTCCAAATGTTCAAATATTTGCATCATATCTTCCCTGCCATAGCTCATAAGCTCTTCTGCACTTCTGGGCCAAGCTGCAAGATCAAAAACCTGGCAGGCTTTCACAAATGCCCGACTGCGAAGTTCAAACCTTTGAGCCAGAATCACTTGGGTCTTCTGGCATATTTTTTCTCGAATTGACTGGAATTTGGCTTCAGCCACCCGTAGGTTTTTCACAGCAACGCCATTAAAGCTTTCACGGAAGTTCTCCTCAAATTCCTGTAGATATTCCCCAGGAGAGTCTGCCAGTCTGCTAATTTCTTGGATGGCCTCCTCTATTTTATCATCCACTTGGGAGATAAGGAGGTATTCACCTTGAAAAATGAAGGCAAGTCGTGAAAGGACCGCAATGACATCAAGCAAAAAATATATCAACTTAATGGATTGATAGTCCATAAGAAATTGCAAGAGAGCCAAGGCAATAGCAGAAGCATCTGCTCTTTGTGTTTGGCCACTGACATCTTTCAGATGGGCCACTACTTCCAGGTAGTCCTTGATGAGAGCATTGAGGACATTTTGTTCCCCAATGATCCATTTGATTGCTCGAATATCTCCCAAGAACTCAGTCTCTTCACAGAGAGTAGCAGCAGTGACCCTTAACTCACACATCAGCCTGGGAGAATAACGGTAAAAGCTGAGTAACTGCTTCAGGTTGTTCTCTAGCTCCTCAAGGCAGGGTAGTTCTTTTCCACTAATTGCATCCAATATTTCCAAGTGTGGCTTGTATACCATTAGAGGTAAGCAGAGCAACCAAGGTAGAGTTTTCCTGATTGTCATGTATATGTTAGCTCGTAGACTGGCAGTAATGTTAGCACCATCTATTCCCAAACCAACACTTGGCTTTTCATCTTGCAGCCTGATTCCCAGAGATGAAAAAGCCCGATCTAATGCTTGAACATAACTATCTGTTGTAGAAAATCCCAGTTCTTGGAGAGAAAGGAATTCCGTGGCAGGAGGTCCATCGCTGCTGACGTACTGTACATAAACTGCAACAGTATCAGCAAGTAAATCATCACTCTGCCCATCTAAAATGATGCTGAGGAAAGGAGACTGCCTCACTCGTTCAATGAGGTCTTCTCTAAGAGCTCTAGCAATATGGTGGATTAAGATTTGACAGTCTCCCTCATTCATGTACTGATCCACCACTTTGAGTTCGCACTTTCTCAGTAGTTCTGAAAGAGGTCGAAAGTCACAATACGGCCGGCCTTCCATAGCTAAATGATAGGCTGTATTGAACAATAAAGTCATATTTCGACACATCTCTTCTGTCTTCTCTGGGTGCATCCTGAGCCGGTAGAGCTGCAGGCACTTCTTGTGGAGATTACTCTGGCTATGAAGTTTTATAGTGTGGATCTTGAATTGCTTTGAGCCAATGATGAAGGCTGAAGTTCGAGAAGACTGTACTGTGTACTGCCGACAGACATGACACCACATTTCATTCAACGTCGGAGAGTACCGCAGAAACCAAAATTTTTTTAGCCACTCTTGCTTGAAGCGCCGAATCCTTCTGGTGACAGCAGACATTTTGGAGGGCTCATCTGTGGCTGTTATTATGTCATTGGAAACAGATTCATCTGCTGAATCTACTTCCTGATCATCATCTTCCATTATGGTAGGAACAGACATGATGCTTTCTGAAGCTGCCAAAAAAAAAAAAAAAGAATTACAGAAAATTCCAGACAAAGTTCTAGAAAACAATATAAAACGGTAAGGTAATTCCACAACACTTCATCCATATCTACACATGTCCCCTGTTTTCAACGAAAATGAACATGTTATTTGAAGTAAGATTGAATTATAAATGCTTTGAAACCAGTCCTTTTTTAAGTTCTAATTTCCTAAAGTCTAAGCAATTGTAAAAAGTAACCTCAGCAGTACTCTAGCTATTGTCATATTATAACAAGAATTATTGAGGGAAATGAACAAAAACAAACACAAGTCAACCAAGTTAAGAATAAGTTCCTGCACAAAATGTAAACTTTGTTTTATATATTTTGCATACATATGAACCAGTATAAGTCACATAGCACATAGAAAACCAAACATACTTCCTAAACTGGATTCAGAATGACAACCTACAATCCTTTCTCCTCCAATGTACGAAGAACATAGCAAACCAATTCACTGCAATGTTTTTATTGAAAATGAACATATTACAGTAAAAAAGAAAGATGATTTATAATTACAAATTATAATTATGATTATAATACCCCAAACTGTTTGCTCAGAGGATTAAATCTGTGCTTCATAAAACCCAACCATGAGACCTCAGAAATGTAAGGTCTCCTAGTATAATGTTTACGGAGCATTTTTATTTTGTGTAACTTACCAGTGGGATATGAAAATGCTTGATACTCAGGTACCTGAGGAGGTAGTAGAGATGGCTCAGCTAACTTGCCAGATCTTAGCAGATTTAGCTCAGCCTGCAATTCCCGAATCTTTTTTTTCAGCCGTATGCAGTTGGGACACAAGGAAGTTGTTGGGATTTCGAGAGCATCATCTTGACTTGATACCAGAGACAGATCAGTGAGACTGTTCACTTTAAACGACAAAGGTTCTTCACCTTCCTCTTCCAGCAAGCCAATTTCTTTGGACATGGTAAAGGGAGAACCGTGAGGGACCTTCCACTCACCCTCATTTCTGTGTCTACTGTGATTAGGAGAACTGTCTTGAACACTAGTCCCACAAGTTTCTGAGACATCTTGAACTTGGAATCTCAAGGATTTTCGAGTGGAAGGGGTAGAATTTTTGGTGAACTTACGATCTTCTACCTTAGTTGACTCCAGAGAAGCCTCTAGGACATCTTTGAAGATGAGGTCTATTTTCTTTTTCTTGGTTTGGGGTTGAGGTATCCCTTCTTCAAAGCTACGTTTGTAGGGACTCTTCCCTGGTTTTGATATAGTGAGCTCAAGGGGATAGATCACATCTTCTTGGCTTCCCATAGTTCTTTCTGTCTTTTCTCTTAGTAATCTTCTGTCCCCTAAAAAAAGAAATCAGAAGACGATTATTCAAGGGAAGCTATAACATTCCTGACACAAAAGCTAAAGCAAAAAGGTAGGGGAAACTTTTCATATGTTGCATAACCAATAAATACATTTACTGGAATAAATGCTTAGGCCCCCTAATGATGGGTAATATTGAAAATAAAACAATATCTAGGTAATATACCAAGGTTTGCTTCAATATACTTCAAATAATAGGCAGTTGGCCTACAGGTAGCTAACCTGTAACTGAAATTAAGATAAAATATGGACGTTTCTGATTGCTCAAAATGTAGTGATAACTTTGACTTGGTAAAAGGCATCATATCAATACTATGAAGTTTCCATATTGAACCAGTAAACCTGATAGACCTTTCCACTGTATAATAGAGTGACACGAGACATGAGAATACACAGAAATTACAATCTCATTTCCCATATCGCTATTTATCACAGTCAATTAGAACCAGCTCAATGATACCCAAAACTGAGATCTATAGCTTGTTGTAATACATTGCTAAATGTGTGGACTTAAGCAAAATTTACCAAAAAGCAGAGATGTTAGCAGATTAGCAGTTATTTAGAAAAAATAGTCATGTATCCTTACCTGTAAATTCAGAAGATGATGAATTTGATTCTATCTTTCTTCTGTCTTGTAAATAATTCCAAGCATCAATACTTGGTTGTTTTCCAAACAAGGCGCTGCTTAATGTCGTTATATTACATTTAAGAAACACACTTGTGCTTATGTAACAGCTTTAATGTAGATGTGGTTCATCAAATCCTAGCACCATAGTCACAGTTAACTGTGATAGTTTTATCTACTTGTGACACTAGGGAAAAACTGCTATGCAAGTATTGCAACTCCAGGTTTTGTGATGCAGCATTGGAACTTCTAACCAATATCAATCTATTGTAAACATGTATCAATTTGCACAGGATTTATTTTGATTCATAAATAAAAAAAAATCATACAGAAAATATGCAAGACTTCAGTCAATTCTATATCCTACTTAGTTTTAGAGTATGACACTAACTGGTGGGTTGGTTATGATGTGGCAGATGTGACACCTTTCTGTCTGAATATTTCTTTGAGGCTTGACAGAGTAATTCACATTTTGTTAAAAAAAATATTCCATCTTAACCATGACTAGTAATATATGGAATTAAAAACCGTTGTGTCCATAGCAAACCAGTGACCTTAATATTACACCTGGTGCAAGTATGTTAAGTGGCAATATTTACATGATGAAATCACCTCATATACACTGTCATTTTGTTCCACTTGTAGATATCTACCAGGCAAATAGAGAGATTTTAAAAAGAGCATGCTTCCAACATTGTGGATGTAAAAATAGGCTTGAAAGCCCTGCTTCTAGGCGTAGGGAACATGTTAAGATTCCTAGCAGCCACAATGGTGGTGATGATGGCATGTAGCCTGAGGCTACAAAAACTAATTAAATCAAGGAAGTTGACTAAATTATGTTAATAAGATCAGTTTGACTGAATCACCTGAGCGTTGCTTCAAAATCGCAAAGCTCATTAATGGATTGCTGTTTTCAAGAAGATGTTGAACAGAGTGAAGGACGCAATATGGATTTGGAGGAGAAATAGAAATATGAATATATTTGGATATTTGGTATGTATGAGGCCTTGATGCAGAAAGATTCACCAAGTTTCTGGAAATAGCTGTTTGATTTGCGGGTGGTTAGGAGCAGTGGTGAGATTCAGCCAGCTTGTACCCGTTCGGCAGAACCGGTAGCTAATTTTTTGTTGCACAGGCCCAGACTTCCGGAAGCGGCATCCACACAGAGAACCGGTTGTTCACATGTTTGAATCCCACCACTGATTAGGAGTACTGGCAGATGAAAGGAGTAAGCAGCTTTGGATTGGAGGGAAAAAGCATCAGTGACATCCATCAGGAGCCTTTCTGGGCTTCTAGATCTGTCAGGATGGTGGTTGAGTCCCTCCCCCTTTCTAACAATGAGGGATTTATACCTCATATGGCAGAGGCTGGGAATTCATGATCTCCATGGTAACCATGGGTTTTCCTCAGGAAATCATGGAACTGACATGAATTAGACCTTGTATTTACTTCAGAATCTCTATAATGTGACTTTGTTATAAAGACTGTTACCATCAGCGTTTTGTCGTGGTTAGATCATTTCCTGGACCAGATGTGACTGATGGCTGTGTTATCGCCATAGGGCTCAACCCATTCAGATGGTCCACCCCAAGTACCACATGGATTTCTAATGGATGCTTGGAATTTCCTTGACAATCTGACAGGTGAGTCAGTCAAAGGCCTAGTTTGCTGTTGGCAACATACCTTCAGAAAAATCATGAATCATCCTGAGTAACCTCTCTCTCTCTGTCAACCAATTTTGGATGATCCCTTGGTCTTCTCAGAGCCCCCAGAAATGTGACAAATTAGCACAATATTTTGTCAATAAAGTTTATCAGAGTTGTTCTATTCTGAGCAGAGCCTAGAGCAGTGATGGCGAACCTTTAAGAGACTGAGTGCCCAAACTGCAACCCAAAATCCACTTATGCATCGTCGAGTGCCAGGTGGGTGTGGCCAATTGGGTGGGTGTGGCCAATTGGGTGGGTGTGGCTGCAGTGGTAACGGCAGACTGGGTGGGACTAAAAAGTTCAATCAATTCCAACTTTGCAAGATCTTTTTTTCCCCACAAGAAGTTGAAATTGACTGATTGAACCTTTTTTTTTTTTGCACATGGCAGTGGAGGCCTAAAGCGAAAAGGTTTTATAAAACCCAGCTGAAGGCTTAGGACTGGGGCAATGGCACACGTGCCCACAGAGAGAGCTCTGAGTGCCGCCTCTGGCACACGTGCCATAGGTTCGCCACCACTGGCCTAGAGTTTGACCAAAACATAATATTGCCATGTTTGGAGGGATTCTTTTGACTTGTGGCTTCTGAGGAAGTAGTTTGGGTGCTCTCTAAGAAATGCTCTTCTGCCATGCGAGTTGGATCCTTGCCTCTCTTGAGTCCTTGGACTGACACAGGCAGAGTAGTTACTTGGATCTGGGAGACGTTGTTGAAGTCTCATTGCAGATAAGGGCATTTCTAGTTATTTTAAAGAAAAATTACTGTTGGTAATTTTTTGGGATTCTCTGGTGGCTCCAGTGGTACTTCTGAGTTAGAAAGGACTGTTCCTGAAAAAAGCATATCCATAGCTTGGAGGCCCTCTTGGATTTGTGGTCCTGCTAGAATAATAGGAAGCTGTAGCCAGGAGGCTCTTTATCAGCTTCAGTTGTATTAGTTGTATCCTATCTGGGACAACAGTACCTTACTATAGTGACTTGTGCCTTCATCACCACTCACTTGAATTACTGCAAAATGTTCTCTGTGGAGCTTTCTGTCAAAGCAAGAACATCTAACATTGGATGTTCTTGCTTTGACACTTCCTTTGAAGAAAAATAAATTGGAAACTTCAGTTGGCTGAAAATGCAGCGGCCTGTGTACTATCCAGCCCTTGCAGATGGAAACATAATAAACTTCTGCTGTGGGTCCTGCAATAGCTTCCCATATACTTCTGGCTGCAACTGAAAGGACTGTTGTGGGCTTTACTATAAAGTGCCTTATGCCCTGTATCAAATTACTTTCAGTAAGGTAGCTGCCTATTAGAATCAGCCCAATCAAAGCAATCTTGTCAAGAAGAGCATCTGGTGGTTTCCTACATTCTGGTGATGAAGGAACAAGCAAAACTTGGAGCAGCAGTGGAGCTATCTGGAATGGCTTCTCACTAAAGATAGTTAGCTCCCATTTAAATTACCTTCTGAAAGAACTAAAAAGGGAGCTCTTCCAATCCGGGGTTGGGATTGTGAAGCCAAGATTTTAGCTTGTTTGTGGTGCTTTTTGTTTTCAATATGTAGGTTTTAAATTTTTTGTACTTCTATAAACTGTTGAGAGTACTATGAGATTATGATAAAGTATAGACAAAATAAATAAATAAATAAATAAATAAATAATGGTTTTAGTCAGTGTATTGATTGATAAATGAATAAACCAATACTTGTGCAAAGTGCAAAAGCATATTTATTTTCTTTATTGTCCTTTTCATAGTCTAACACAGTGGTTCTCAACCTTTTTAATGCCGCGACCCCCAACCGGTCGTAAGTCGAGGACTAAACCGGTCGTAAGTTGAGGACTACCCAACCGGTCGTAAGTCAAGGACTTTCCCTGCCCGGGAGCGCCGTGCATGCGTGGTTCCGCCCCCTGCACCGGCTGGCAAGTGGCAGAGATGGAGCAGGCTGACCACCACCTGGCCACGGCCAAGGGAGGTAAGGCACCCGCCGGAAAAGGGGAAAAAAATGGACAAAAAAAATGGCGGACAGCCTTGCTTGGCGACCCCCGTGAAATGGTCGATCGACCCCAAATGGGGTCACGACCCATAGGTTGAGAACCGCTGGTCTAACACCTCAGCTTTCTGCAATTCTATATTCTCTAGCTCAGCGGCCACCAACCTTTTGGGCACCAGGAACTGGTTCCAAGGAGAGAGGTTTTTCTGTGGACTGGAGGGGGCGTAGTTTTACATGCTGCCTGCATTCCGTGGATGGGGGTTTGCTTGTTTGCACAGACCAGTTTCTGGCATGCCATGGACCGATGCCGGGGACTCCTGCACTAGCTAATTAGAATTCTACTTCTGCTAATAGTTCACCTATTTCTGATACTTGGTAGAAATGATGAAATTTGATCCACTTATTTGTTTTATTTATTTTTGCAATTTTGTATGACTGTTCATAGGACTCTGTGTTAGACGATGCAATCACCTTTTGAGTAATTATTATCTTGTTTGGTACTTATAATTAGTAGAGAAAAAAAAACATGCCTTTTCTATAGTCCCAAAGCTGCTTTTTCAAAAGGCAACTGGACTTCCTTTATTTTTCCTTGAAGACTCACTTCTCATCCAAGAAAATTCAGTTCATCAGTTCTTCTGAAGAAACCTCTTGGATAAGAAGTGAAACGTCTTCAAAGAAA